CAATATTATCTAAATAATAAACGAATGTGTAAATGTTCATCATATTTGAGTAGTATGAAATATTTACCCCAATAACTGAAACGGTTTACTATCTCACCACCTTCTTGGGAATATTATGGGTTTCTCATTTATCCCTTTCTTTCATGACATACTATTCTACGGATATAAAGCAATAACACTCTTAGTGAATGTACTTCACGGTTAATCAGCTAAACTTAGTTATCATTATCACAGTTTTATTTAGCCCTGTTTTCCTACTCATTTGAATGTCTAGATTATTTTGAAAAAATTTTCCTGTGGGGAAATATGTCCGCAGTTGATGAGAGTTTCTGTTCTTAGCTAATTATTGTTTTAAATTCTCTTTTTAAGAATCTCGTTGCGTTATATTCCGAGGTACATTTATGAAATATTTAATTTGTGCAACTAATGAAGCCTGTTTCACAAGAGTAAGTAAAATTATAAATGTCCATCGTTGTAGCGAAAGGTGGAAATTTATCATTCATGAATGATAGACCAGTTAAGGGAAACAGTATGAAGCTTTGCTAAGTAGAAAGATTTTCTCAGAGATATGAAAAATTCGTTAATTAAAAAATTATTTGGCAATATCTCCTTTAAATTCGGTTTCCTATAGAACTGTCCATGGTCGTTTGTTTGTAATTCTAGTGTTCAATTTCCACTAGTGAATCTGGGTAGATGGGCATTTCTGATGTTCATTTTTCAAAGTTGAAGTATCTAGTTGTCCATATCCACATATTTGTCTGATCCTCATTAACAAAGAATGATTTAAAATTCTCTTTCTGAACAATGAAACATACATTAAGAAGTCCGTATGCTGATCATTCCATGATGGTTTGATGTATAAAAATCTCTTCACGGAGCTATATAACGTTCATTCAATAAAGCATCAACAAAATTAAATTTCGAAGGTTTAGTCTTAAGATAACAGAACTAGATGACTTAAAGCAGTCATAGAGATCACAGGTGATGACAGATAGATTTTCGTCAACATCTGTTCGGCTTTCTTGCTTGCATTATTTCAATCGATCTCATTAGAGAATTTATCTGCTACTGATAACATAGAAAATAATTTAGTAGCATAGACCTGATTGTCCAAGCGGACAATACCGGAGATCGTATTCGATTGACTAAGCACCAAATCATAATTATTCAAAAGCCTGAGTAGTTGAAATGTATGTTCCATTTATCGTAATCGCTTAGTTAATGGTCTTTTGCTTGCAAACTGATTTGAGATATCTACAAAAGTTGTCTTGAATCATTAAAAGTCCTTACTTGATACAAGGGTAAGGTCATTTGTCTAGCGAACTAAGCTTACCAAACGGACCTTGGCGTTGAGCTTACTTACTTTTGTTGAAGTATCCCAAAATTTAGTGTTTAGTGATAGTTCTGATGGATGAGTGGCTATTATAAATGATAATCATTTCATTAATAATTCCTATATTCACCTGAATCCTGAGAACATTATCAATTTTTAACATTCATATGTTACCACCATCGAAAATGACAGTAAGAACTATAGGTTTTACTAAAATTTCAAGATACTTTTTGATAATGTGCTGGAATAGGTCGTATTTTATCCAATAAAAGGAAGATATTATAACTTAGAACATATTATTAATTTGTATAGGCCTATTTGTAATTATTTTTAGATTTGGTAGTCCATCATAATATGGATGGACGTTTTGTCGTTTAACAAAGTTTTTTGAAGATCAAGATTACTACATGAATATGCATAGGACACTATGTCTTTTTCAACTAGTTGATAATTAAACAAAGATGATACCAAAGATGATAAATTAATTCTTAGAAAACAGTTGTCATAATTAAATTTACTTGTTTTACTTGTATCTTCCCATTGTTATTTAGGACTTAAATTGACCAGTCTCATGCCTTGATATAGCCTTAAGTCACAAGCTTTTTAAGCAAAGATGGATAGTAGCTAGCAGTAGAATCCAGGACGCGCGTTTTATATATGTAGGCATAAATAGGACGAGATGCCCTTCCTGGATTCCACTGCTAGCTACTATCCATTTTTTGCCTAAAAAGTCGTCCCAATTGTTTTAACATTCAGATTACCAGATTCATTATTCGAATAAACTGTTTCTGTATAGGTTATGTAGTGATCAATCCTTATAAACATTTCCATTTAAGATTATTGTAGAATTTGATTATTTTGAATACTTAAGACAAAATAATTAACATTTTTTTGTTGACAATTTCCTAATTGTGTTGATGGATCTACTAACTAGTAGTCTGATTAGTTGAAGATAATGTACAATAGTGATAGCATTTGTGAAACCTATCAAAATGCTGAAATTCATAATAATTATATCAATCGTATAAACCTGAGGTCAAGGCTAAAACTAAACGCGAAGAAGGATGTTTCAATCCCTGATAATTTAATTGCAGAGTAGTATACAAATTTTTTAAAGACCCTTTATTATAAATAAGGCAAATAAATATGTGAAAACGTCTCAGTTTGAATGAATTGCATGTGGTATACTATATTCCTTTAATTTAGCATGAGTATCAGATTTTTTTCAATCCATTTCAAGTAACTTCACTTAACAAATAAAAAAATGTCATATTTCTATACGAAAGTATTAATGTACATATTCCCAAAAGCGTACTTTCCAGTATTAAAGCCCTGAAGTCGTGAACAATCCATAGTAACTTTGTGAAGCGTAGTATAACGAATACATATGGTCAGATAATTAGACATGAATGAAGATATGTATATATTTAAAAAAAACTTCAGGAAATATGTCATTTTAACAAATCAATGAACTTTTCCCATTCTTCCACCGTATTCATTATGATCTTAAGTTTTACTTATTTAAGATTTTGTTTCACTGATGTGTGGAAATTAATATTCTGGTCGCAAAACAAAATCTTAGAATGGATTTATCTCCACATGAAAGATTTCTTAATATAAAACGTTAATGACACTAAATAAACAATGCTCCCTAACTTTATTGTTTACCGTTAATGGAAAAACTTTCATCATATTTCCTCTTAGAATCACATTATATATATATATATATATATATATATATATATATATACATATATATATACATTGATATATATATATATACGAAATCACGAAATTGCATCACGAGGCAAGCCCTGACTTGGAATCCTGAAGGGAAGCGGAAAAGAAGGCCGAAAAACACACTGTGTCGGAAAATAGAAGATATGAAACACCTAGAAAGGATTACCTAGGACAGGTTTGGATAGAGAGTGCTGATGGGCGGCCCGTTCTCCTCCACGAAGGGTAACAGGCGTTAGTTAGTACGTAAGTAAGCAATATATATATATATATATATATATATATATATATATATATATATATATATATATATGCTAAACGCACTATTTCAACTAACTTACACTGGATGTTAAAATATGTAAATCATCATTTCGAACAATAAATAACACAAATTATTGAAACAATCTTGACTTGCTAGTTAAATACTTATTATTGTACCAATACTTATATTCATACTAGATTACTATCTTACAACATATCGTACTATCATCATATTATCGCGCAAGCGGAATCGTTGATGCGCGCTGCTGAGGAGTCCCACAATAGGATGAAACGACCGTTCAATGCTTCCAGGTTTCTAACGATGGTCTAACATCAATCGTCTCATGATCCTCAATCAAAGAAATATTAATAATCTCCACAACCCCTATACTGATATTATGATAAGTTAGTAACTCACATAGAATAAATAATTTAAGGTAATATCAAATGGAATCTTTTGCAAATAAAATCATAACTAAAATTTTAAAAATTTTTTATACCGTTCAAACTTAATAAACTATTGATCTAATTGTAAATATTTAATTATTCTTTTAATAATATAAACAAAACAATCGGTAAGAAATAAAATAAACAAAACATAATCAAATACAAATATTCTCTTTATTTATTATTCATTTTTATTCATAGATAATCCTATACAAATATGTATATATATATATATCACAACTAGAAACTAATTATCTCTTCAATGTTCTTTTTTTGTTTTTATTTCTTATTAAAATTCTGTGTTAGTAATGAAAAATGATTGTGTCGAACAGAAGAGGGGAGAGAGAGAGAGAAGGAAAGAGAAGAAAGAGAGAAATGAAGAATAATTATGATTGATTGTCCATATTTATTCATTTATTACAGGTTAAAATTGATAGAGTAAATAGTAAATCTCCAGAATAATTGTACTATTCATTATTAATAATAATTTGTTTATATTCAATATTGAATTCTATATTGTTATGTTTGTGCTGCTGATAATGAAAATGAAACTTATGATAATGTTATTAACATTATTATTATTATTACTATTGTTATTATCATTGTTTAATTTCTCAAGGGTCTTGTTTTCCTTTTAGTCTTGACAACAAGAATGATGCTGTGCTGTGGATTTTTTTGGTGATCGAATTTAAACCATTTTACTTTTAATTAATACAAAGACTATTGATGTATTATTCTGATCGACAATTCTGTTCTTTCCCTTTCAATGATAAATATTTAATGAATAATAAGAAAAACAACGAATAAAGGTACATTAAAGAGAATGATTTACATCATGAGGTGAGAAAATGTCATGTATATATCACAATATTCATAGAAAAAGAAAGAAAAAGTGTCTGTTGGAATATTACGTTGTATTGTTCTTTTCTTTTTACCAAAAAAAAAGAACGAAAATAAGGAATAACAATAATTGATTCAATGAACAAATCATTTATAATACTTAATACTTTCTTTATTTAATCATTCATAAATTTGATTGATAATAAAATAAAAATGTAAAAGATTAAAATTGAAACTAAAGTAAAATACAGCAACAATTATTCATCACAGTAGCATAATTAAATTATTTATAAAGACAATGAACACAGTCAAATGAAACTAATGCATGTATACTTATATATATATATATATATATATATATATATATATGTATACGTGTTCACAAAATTACAATGAGATGAAATAGTTTCGGTTATGGAAAGAAAGAAAAGAAAACAAACAAACAATCAACTACATTTGGAATGGTAATTCATTTTACGAGTAAAAACAAGATAGAATACTAAGAATTTTTTAGATGTCACAGTAAGAGAATAAGTCATTATCAAATAGTCTTATATTATTATGAATTCATTACATAATCCGATAATTCTTTATTAGTGTTACATATATGGTCTATTATTATAAGTAATAATATTAATCTTATAAATAAACCATATAGAATAAACTAATGTTATTGAAAGTTTTAATAAGTCAAACATAATTTATAAAACTTTGTTAGGATATTGAAATAAGTTAACATTCCGGAAGCACTATCAATCATAGTTAATATGCAATTTCTCTTCAAAACGTTCTCAATACTTATAAAGTATATTCATTGATATAATGTTTTTTTGGAAAAAAAGAGTGTTTAGTACAACAGAATCAATTCAAACTAAGTATTATGGATAGTTATATATTGTTCTTTAAAACGATTTTTTATTAGTTTTTTTTCTATATGACTTCAGTTTTATTCAAGAAAAAGATTTCTTATTGGAAGGGATTGAAAAATAAAATTCAATTTGAAAATAAAAGGCAACCTTTTACATTGGATTAAAGAGAAGAACAAACTGAAGTAGCGGCAAGTAAGAATATTAACAGAAACGTTGCTCTTTTAAAAAAAGACTTCCTAACCGAAGCTGCCTTCTAAAACAAAAAACAAAATAACACACAATAGATAAATTGGCTGAAATACAAAAGACAATAGTAGTAGTGCTAAAATCAAGAAAAAAACGATAATAAAAGTCAATAAGATTAATTGAAGATGATCTGAAACATAAGAAAGACAAAAATAAAGAACTAAACATGTCATGCTGCATTAATGTCAAAGAAATTCAATATAAATATACTGTAAACTAAACTAATAGAACCTAATGACTTATATCACACACAAAGTTTTATTGGTTTTCATTAAAGAGAGAGGGGGGAGGGAGAGAAAAGACAATTTGACATGATTAGCTCATTTGAATCCAATATAAATGTGATTTGTTTTGTTTCTATTACTATCGATTATCATTTAGTTACTATTATGGTGAAAATGGTAACAAACAAAAGAAAAGAAAACACATTGTATATTCACAATTATGTATGCAATAAATTAACAAAATTAAGAAGAGGATTCAATAAAGTATTGAGATAGTGAGAAACATGCACAGCCTGCAATAGATTATGAATAGTTTACCAGTTAATTTTTGTTTTTGTTTTTTATCATTCTTTTCTTTTTTTAAAATTTGATATTCAATTTCATTTTTGATCTGACATAAACGAATTAACTGAACACGATGCTGGTGTACCAACATTATCTGAAGCCGTTTCATTTCGTTCATCAACTATTTGTAAAATAGGTTCATCATTTTCTGATTCTGAAAAATGTGTATCATTAATTTCAGATTTTGACATTTCTATACAATAATTAGAATCGTATTCATTTGTTATAGAATTTGTTGAAGGTGCAGTAGAAGTAGTAGTAGTAGTTGTTGTTGTTATAATATCATGATTATGTTTTTGCAATTTCCCAGTTGAATTTGAACGAATTGAATTATTTGTTCGACTTTTAAGTCCTAATAGATTATCACATTCTTCTTGGTCATTTGTACAATTTCTATGTGATTTTAAAGATTCTTGCATAGTTGGTGAATTTCTTAAAGGATGTTGTCGACTTCTTTGATTATTAGCAACTCTTCTAGCTTGAACACATACATCTGTCATACATAAATTAATTGATCCAGTTTTTAATTGTGGATGTCTTTGACGTATAAATACTAAAGATAAATAAAAATAAAACATTTATCACTAAATTTTATCATCACTTGTAAACATCGCATACAGAAAAGATGGAATGCGGTTAGAATTCATAACGCACGTTTCACCTTACGACTGATAAAAATTCAGTAAAAATATTAATAATGGGATAATTCAAATCACCACGAATAAGATTGTATTTTTTCGGCTTGAATATAGACATTTGATTTAAATTATACTTGTACTAGAAATCCATTAAAAACAAAAATAGCTGATACTGTAGTGAATAGAACACGGGTGGGGACAATCGAATGTATTTAACACAAAATTACAGGACTTGTTAATAAAATCTAACAATCATAAAGTAAATGCTTAATTTGCAAAATAACCATCAATTGTCTCAAAATGACGCAGACTTCATTGTTCTTGCATGTTCATACAAATTGCATTCCGTTTCCATTCTTTACTTTCCGATCCTCTTGTCTCTCTGTTGCCAGACATTCTGTCCCTGACTAACATCATATACTACTTATGTTAAGATAAGTAGCACACACCACAATACAACCTTGCACTTTATTAATCCAACCTGAAAAAAAAATACTGACACAACTTCACTTATTGTTTTACTTATCCGACTATATGAAACTCTGCAAAACTTTCAATAACATTCAAGTATTTATCTGAATTCCTTATTCATTTAGTACAAACAAAGTTTGATGGTTGATTATTGAGTATAATCAATCACTTATAAATAAAGTACATATTCAAAATAGGGATAATGACAAAACATCTTTTATTTAAAAAAATTAAACATATCACAAATAAAATCAAACGTTAGACTATTTCATAATTCTAACTTTGTTATATAATATTTATCATTAATAGTAATTACAGTATAATGATGAATTAAGAAAGTTCTTTATTACTATACAGATAAATAAACAATATCTCAATCATCTTCATTTCAACTTAAATATAACATTTCTTATCATAAGTTTTGTAATTTATCATTTAATCAAACGAAACTATATCATTGAGCAAAATAGTTTAGTTCATCATCAATGAAAAAATAACAATGACATGAAAAGTATAAAATGCAAATATAGAAAGAAAAAAAAAAGAAAAAAATGAAAATAGAGGAAACAACAATAATAGAACTACACTAAAAAGTTAAATTTATTTGTGTTTATATCATTTTCAAATGAAAATAGGTTAATTGGTTTTATTATCCAATTGTTGTTGTTGTTCTGTTCTTTTTTTATATTTTACAGGAAATGAAAGAAATTTACAGATGTAAAGAAGTGAGATGGAAATCTCATGTAATTTTTATTATTATTCAAATTGTGCGTGTTCTTTATTCTTGTAAATTATTTTTATTCTGTTACTGTTTATCATTATCTCTGTGTTCACATTTGTTTATAAATGAAAAATAAAAAGAGGAGGGAGGGGGGAGTGAGATTGTATAAACAATGCTATATTGTGTATATTGGTTTATGAAGATAATTTCTTTCTGTTTTATTTTTCGAAAAACCATTAAAACTTTTCTTTTTTCTATATAAATTCATCTTTGATAGAGAAAATTAATTTATCTTTTTGTTCATAAAAAAAACGATATGGTATGATGAAAGAGACTTCCGGAATGTTAATTAATAAAAACATCAAGATTACAGTTTTAAATGAAATTTTTAAACTTGTCCTGTATAATCACTATACAGATGGGTATAAAAATGGAAAAAGAAAACGAGATGAATTTACTTAAGTGTGATTAGATCTGAACTATTTTTTGAGCATTCACTATTAATATTTCAAATGTTTCAATTGTAATACAAAAATGCCAACTCCTCATTTATATAACAATAAAGAGGTAAAGTAAAATGGTTTATATTTTCTAGTATAATTGAGTACAAATTGATGTAAAAATATAGTAACAACAGGGAATATTAAAACAATTAAGATCATTATTATTATCAATTAAATATAACACTAACTCATGTTTAAATAAGATTTAAAGGATAGAAATGAATAACAGTGTATATTCTAGTATAGGATGATATTTTATGAGAAATCATGCCTATAAATTAGTTACTACTAACTATCACAGAAATACATTGAATTACGTTAGTTGATTAGTTTAATAGATGTCATCATCTTATAGAACGTAAAATAATAAAAACTCTTCTTCTAAGCCACAAATCTTCTTTATTATCTTAATATAGGCTACTGTTATTAAATGATTAAGTTGAGGAAAAAAAATGCTGAATTTACCATACACTCCTTCAAACTACTTACAAGTACTGTATGCTCTTGACTAGAAATTAAAGTTATTTTCTTCTATTTTATTAAAATTGTGATCACTCTCGAAATAATTAGTTAAATCAGTAGCTACAAACTGTGTATATAAGTAAATATTAAAAGGTTATAAAAGATATCAATCTTGAACCGCAAAACAAACAATTTCATATTTCAAAAATCAATGACAATACGTGGTATTGAAAAAAAATGATTCTCATGTTTATAATTGTAAATGGCTAGTGAGTTAATTTAATATTTTGTTCTAACTCTCCATAAACCTGATCAACCATAACATGTACGAAAGGGATTTCAGGTAAATACTTTAAATACCAAATCAATACAGAAAATGCTATTACATTAAGAATTTCATAATATTTGTTTAGTGTATTATACATGCAACATTTACAGCTGATTTCATTATTGTTTTGTTTAAGCTAAGAAAGAATATTCTAATTTCAAAGTATAATTTCCAGAATGTTCCATATTCGTTTTTTCATTATTATTCTCCTTTTATTTTTTTACTTTAAAGTATAGAAAAATAAATGGATGAGAATTAAATACCATCTGACGTGTAAACTAATTGTTCAGTCAAGCTGAAACTAAAAATATCATAGGTTATTCATCTTATTTAAACAAAGCATTGGCGTTTTACTCATGTATATTATCCATGTGGTTAACTGTACAATCATATATTTTATTAAACTAACCTGTGTATAAACCATATAAAGTTGACTAATATCTCAATTTCATACACATAGTTCCCTTTGTCATTTTAAAAAGAGCAAGAACAAACATTCTAGCTGAGTAAAATGAATTCATTTTTATCTCGTTGATTCTCGTCAACTACTCACAACCTGTGATATTTAAACATCATAATTACATAATGGGTTTAAATTATCTACATGGAATTGTTTGATTGGAAGTTATATTAAAGACATATTCGTATAGTATAACAAGGGTGTAAATAAATGTGATAGACTGAATATTGTAAATATATACCTTATGTAAAAGAAAATTGTGACAACAGTTCAAATGGCTAGAAACAAGTAAACATTGATAGGAATAAAATAAGTAGAGTTCAGTTGATAAAACAAGATTATTAATTTGGAAGGTAGTTGTTATAAAAATCAATGATAAGTGCAAGAAGAGTTTAAAGAAAAAGAAAAAAATATTAAGATACAGCGAAAGAATATTAATCACCAAGGCAAGGAAAGATTAATAACTATCTTCTTTTGAACACATAAGTCAGGTTTTTGGCGTCTGATAGCAACTACTTCAGCAAACTTCGGAAGACCGGAGTTTGGCTGCTTACTAATCACCTTGAATGATTGTAGGGTATCGACATAATGTCCTGTATCAAAGAATGTTTGGTGATTGCTCTATTTAGAGTCTTTTCTTCTCTTGTTCTGAGGCTTTATGGAACATGGTCAAAAAATCTGAGATATGCCCTACTTTCTGTTGGTCAATGTAATATTCATAGCAAATAAAAACTTTCAGCAACTCAATGGAGGTTAGCATTAACAACTACTAAACAATACCAAGTGCATGAACAGTTGTTGCACAGTCATAATATGTCTAAAATTAATTTAATAGTTGAATTCATGAGTCAATTAAAACTAGACCACGATGGAAAACCCGGAAGCACTGAGTGGCCGTTTCGTCCTAGTATGGGACTCTTCAGCAATGCGCATCCACGAGTATGTTCACTGGATTCAAACCCAGGACTTTCGCTCTTGCAAGTAAGCGCTTAACATATATATCGCAGAGACAGCATCCAACGGTATTAGTCTTTCACTTCAAGCAATTCATGAAATGTCGCGACCATCTTCAATTGTCTTTGGTGAGTAATTGCCTTACACCTGATACGGTTGAACTTTACTGGTCACGGCTTCTCACCAGAACTCCGAGAATTAATTCCCGAAACTAGTCACTAGTGAGCACATGATAATTATCAGTATAGGGTTGTGGAGATTGTTGGGGTTTAACAGACCGAAGGTTTTGGTTTCGAATCCAGTAGGCGAGATCGTGGATGCGCACTGCTGAGGAGTCTCATACTGGAACGAAACGGTTGTCCAGTGCTTCCAGGTTTTCCATAGTGGTTTAGCTTTAATTGACTCACGAGTTTGACTCGATAATTTCCAGTCTTACTAGATAACAAATACCGTTTGTTACACTTAGAAAATCATTACAACAAAGCAAATTTATTTTACTATACAATAGTTTAAACATATCCGACATAATGAAATCAATAAAATGAATGTTTCCAATGCTTTTACAATGACTGTCATAATCCAGATTGTTGTAACTAAAACCTAAGCAGATAATCTTTATCTCATTTTTAAATACAGACACAAGTAATTTGTAATTCAGTTAATGTAATAATGAGATAAACACATTTTGGTAAATAAAAATACATTGTTTACAAACAAACAAACAAACAAGAACATATTCTGATAGAAATCCTTCCGATTTGATTGAAATGAAATAGCATACCTAATTTAATGAGTATAGTTCAGACTGAACTTTCATAATAAATCTGCTTACAAAAATGCTGTCAATACAATAATCTGACTTTAAAAATTACCCTTGTTAAATGTATAACCTAATATGGAATAAACAGTATTAAAAGTTGTTGTTTTGTTTTTTTTAATGAAGAAACCAAGAAAGTAAGTGCTTTAATTTTACAAATACCGATATATGTGTTTAATAAAAATAATAATGAGAGGTTCAATGGATAAAATTTTACAGTATATATAATTGCATGTGAACAAACTCATTAGAGTATTACAACTTTACCGCCATAATCAAATTCCTTATCAATAAACTGACAGTATTCATGATTTATTTGTAACTAGTTTAAGAACATATTTATTATGAATGATATTATCATGAAAAGTCTAACTATTGTTATTAGGTTAAATGAACTAAAACATATTGATTAATAAACAGTAGTTTGTATGAGTCTATAAAGAGTCTGGAACATTGTTAAGCCCGGTGTAATGTGACGTAATCTGAAATGATTATATATCTTTAAAAATATAGGTTGAATAGACAAAATTAAGTGAAAATAGATGTTTGACAAGAAACATCAAGAAAAAGAAGCATTAGTGACAACTACAATATTATGAGTCTTGGTATGCACCATAAAACAGTAAGTAGACTATAGTCAGAACGACAAAATCGACATTCATTTAGTTTGTCAGATAATCATAATCAATGTAGAGCCTGGAATAGGTATTTATTAGTACAGTTTACTACACTGGATTAGTATAACCAGATAAAAATAACAAGTTGATTGAAATAATATAGTAACAAGGATGATATGGAAGACTATTTATGTTTTTCTAAAAGACGGAGTTGAAAGATGTATGTGGGAAAATGCTGAAATGTGACATTGAGAAAAAGATAATAATTGAACGAGTCTACCCCACTATGAACGACTCTGAGCCACTTCATCTAATATTTTCAAGCAGTGATTGTAGTTCGAATCTGTCTATATAGCTCAAACCCATGCTCAGTGACTTCATGAAGCTGTGGTATGTCTTGATTCGGACTCGGCTAGGTTTCGTTTAACCTAATTCTATTCCGGCAGACATCGCCTGTCACGAGTGTTATTAGGCTTTAGTAACAAGTGTCATAAACGCCTCAGTCAATTAAAACTCATAACCACATCAACCAATCCGACACCACCTAGTATCCTATCCCTAACCTCAACATTGAACGCTTTGTCGTTCCACGAAAAACGAGTAATATTTGGAAGATCGCTATTATCAAGAACTTGCAGCCTAAGTATTTCATTTACTTTCGTAGTCTAAGTTTCACACCCACAAATCTATAGAGGACAGACTGCTGTCAAGTATACATCCCATTTGCCTGGTAGACAAACATCTTGTGGTATATTTGTCCCCACTGAGTTTTATTATATCGAAAATACGGACTTGTTTATTGTTAGTCGCATTAAGAAATAGAGTGAAGTTGATTTAGTGGCTAAATAGTATTGAACTTTTCTCAAGATTCTCTGTCTGCTCATGGTTGCCCAAAGCACTAGAAACTCAATTTTTAACAGAAGGTAGCCATCCTATAATGTCTGGATTTCTGCATTATCTTACGTGATATAAGCCCCTGATGACAACTGGATTCAGCAAAAATACCTAGGTAATAATCAAAACGGAATATACTGTACAACTAGTGAATAAATGCTTATTAACCATTAACCAGAAAATTACAATTAAATTCGCAAAAAGCTTATGCCGTCTTAATATGGACGGTTACTACACATAGATGTATATTTGTTTATGGTATAGAAGGATTTGTGGAGATAATTTAATTATCATAAATTAAATCACAAACCGATCTTAGCTAAACCACTATTGGAAATCTGTAAGCACTGCACGGCGATTTCGCTCTGTTCTTGGACTCTGTAGTAATGTACATTCACGAGCCTGTGATTAATAGTCGAACACAAATGACTAAACTCTAAACCACTGAATTGGCATCCAATTGTGTTAATGCTTAGTCTTAATCAATCCACAATATTGCTTAACCCTCGTCTATTGTCTGCGGTGAATGATTGTCTCACACTAGACATAGTTGAATTCCACTGATTTCAACTTCTCATTAGAATTCTACTAATTGGATTTTGAAGTTAATCACTGGTTAGCATATGACTATTGTTGATATAGTGAAATCTATGCAATAACTATTGAAAATGATTAATAATAAGTTATTAGTGAGAAATTCATCCAGTGCAAAATCAAACTAAACTAGTAGATAACCATGATTTTCAAATGATATGAATCAAATAATTATTACATAACGTTAAGGACAAAAATCATTTTCATTTCAAGTGCATCAAAACAATTTTTTCAACAACAACAAAAAAGCAACTCAAAATTTACATACACACGTACATATTAAAAGTATAGTTATTTAGTATTATTTTCTAAGTAAGATATTGTTACATAAAAAGAAATAATGAGAGAGGACTAAGAAAAAAAATCTTATGACTATTAATAAGAAACTAACAAGCACCACGACTATTACTGATATTACCAGTATAGTAATCATATATATATAATTACATATTTAATCATGCTGTTAATAAAACTACATTTATTAATGAACTTAAAGAGGATAGTGACAAAAAGAAATTGTAAAATGTACTTTTATTCTTTCATTCTAACTAACCATTTAAAAATGGTTTTATAGGTTGTTCTGTACGAAATAATCATAAGGACAGAATAATTAATTTGTTTTTTTTTTCGATGGATTGTATCATATTTTGTTGTCATTATTTAGAATCAAAACAAGTTGATGGGAAAATGATGGAAAAGAAGAAACTGAAGGAAACTAATTTCAATAGTTATTATTTATTTACACACAGAATACAAACTTTTATTTGTTTTTGTTGTTATTTAATTTTGAGTTAATTGTTTCAGATTATGATAGTTGTCTTGACTGCTAAACTGCAATTCTTAAATGATAATTATGAAGGAGAAAATAACCACGTCGCAAATAATGGCTCAATAAAATGTTTCATTGTGAATGTAGGGAGAATAAACTCTAAGCACACTTTGAAAACATACATTCATAAAACATTTAAAAGTAATATTAACATATACCGCTTTTCTGATTAGTTGTATTTGACTTATTATCAACTATCATGTTTTTATTATGGTGACAATGAAGATTGTTGAATTTCATTTAAATCGTAAACCAATCTAAGTTAGACCACTGTTGAGTACCTGGAAGCACTAGACGACCGTTCCGTCTTAGTATGGGACTCCTTATCAGTGCATAAACATAGTCTGGTATACATGACCCCAATTCAGCACCTTCGATGTCACGCGCAAACCCTTAACCTCTAGACCAATGAGTTGGAATCCGATTGTATTAATGTTTAACCTCAATCAATCCACAACATCGCATGACCAGGAGAGCTAATCTGTTCCAAGTGTGGGGTAGTTACCTACCGAAGGTAATAGAAGATGATCATGCAATGTCGTGGATTAATTGAAGTTAAAGACTAGCACTGTTGGATGCAGGTTCATCGGCCTGGAGGTTAAGTATTTGCGCACGAAACCTAAGGTGCTAAGTTGGAGACCCGCATGAGGGATCGCGATTACGTGCTGCTGAGTAGTTCCATACTAGAACGGAACAACCATCTAGTACTTTCAGATTTTACACGGTGATCTAACTTAGATCGGTTTATAATTTCAATGATATTATGTTTCTAGCTAATTTTAGTAAAATGGATTGTCTTTATGTCTTGCACAAAATACTTTAGTGGGAGATTTTCTGAATACTAACTTAAAACGAAGATGGTAATTTTCATGAAAGCTTTCCTTAACTGATATCATTTGAATGGACTAGAATTACTCTCATTTCAAGATTCTGGTTAATTTATGGTTTCTACAATAAGTATTCATTCAAACAATCTTATTGTTAATTATCGACAAACCTGTATAAAATAAGATGGTTTAAGGACACATAGATCATCTTTTAATTGCACTGACCCTAGAAACGGAATGGAATCGAAAATATTTATACTGTGAAAGAACCGAAGAATAACTACTAAAAATATTGCTTCGATTTTAAAGTAATTTATTGTCCGTTTAAACTAAATGATGAAGTAAGAACTCATTGAAGAGGGTTTACTTGTCTTAACTCGATTAACAATTATTTTTAATATATTTTTTTTGAAAAATAAGCCAAGTACTTCATTTTATGACGTCTAGTATTGGCTAATTTAGTTTTATCAGATCCCGTCTTTGAGTTACTTATATTTTCTCAATATAAGTTCGTTCAACTTTAACCAGTTTGATTGTTTACAATATTCTTCTCCAAATGATTCAGCTGCTGGTGAAATTTTTGTTAATAGTATATCCCAAACATTATGATTTTATGTTAATTTCATAGTTTAGAAAATAGGAGAGGGTCGTTTTTGAAACAAAAAGTAACAGGAATTTGACGAAATAAACTTCCCCGGGTTATATTAGCTATGAAATTTTAGTAAATTTGATCATAAATGTAATTTTTATTATTCAGAAGAAAGGAATGGATAGTTTACTTACTTTTAATTGCTTCCGTAACACTTGGTTCTAGGCGCTGTTTATAAATACCTTCACCAGATAATGATGAAGCAGCCAATTCATCTTGTGTAAAAAAACTTTTCATCAGTAATCTGATTAATCGCGTAGCACTTCCAGATGATTTTACAATTAAACTATAAAATATATCTTTGGATAATTTCACATTTGGATGAGCTTCAGATAGTAATATTTGACTCTGTATCAGAAAAGAATAAGAAAAAAACTATTGATGTCATTGTCAGAAGACAAGAGGTTACTTATCCTCTAAAATAAACTATTACTTACCATGATTCTAGAGATTTAATTATATTTAAAATGATAGGCGTTTGAAGAAGTCACTTAGTTCAAACACACATTAGTTCACAACATATCAGTCAAAGCCTAATATAATACTTACATCTTCCTGAACAAATATCATCGAATTAAGGATTCAAAACATTTTCGTAAATCGTCTTCAAACATAAGATACAAAATAAAATCAATCATAATGTCACAATAAATTTTTCTAAATATAAAATTCACTTGTTTATTGAATGAAAAGTATTGGTTTAGTTACCGATATGGCTAATTTTAACCAAAATTATCGACCAAATCTCATTAATTACATCCATGAATTCGTTTCACTTTGATATGCGAATTCATTTTCTTGGCTCATTTTTGATTTCTTTTAGTCATTATGTAATCGAATTTTTAGTAAATCTATAAGTAATTTTTGTAGTCAACTGGAAAAATTGATTTTTTTCGTAATGTGAAATAAACACTATTTCCGCCTAATTTCCAAACTTCCTGATATTTGATTTAAATAATTTCATTATGAAATAACTCCGAATATACTTCAAATAATGTACTCTTATGAATTTACAAAGCTTGCGTTATAAGAATTATGGTAAAATATAGTCATACGAAATCAGTGTTTTACAAATATGGAAGATAAACTGTTTAGTTTAATTGCCAATATTACATCCAGCTTAATAAATAACTGCTTTTTAAATAAGGGATATATTATATCCTACTAACCAAATAACTTAGTCTAGTCATGTAATCAACTTAAGCGTTATTTTCACGATAAAAACTAGTCAATATACACATATGATGAGTAGTACCCTAGTCCAGCCATAAATTAGAATTACTCAATAACAATCTTATTAATTAATCACCATTTATTTTAATTTTTTTATAAATGTCACTGTTAATATCATTCCGTAGAATATTTCACCTAAAGAGATATACTTGCATGTTAATGGATGTATCTGTTTTAGTAAATTTCACTTGTTAAAAACAGTTAACTCTTTTTTTTATTTTATACTTCTTTCTATTGTCTTTATGTGTTGTATGTTGTATGTAGTTCTATGTTAGAGAAACAAGTAAATTGTCTTCATCACAATATTGCGTGTTATATTTCTTACTGTAAATGTTGACACCACTATTATTATTATACAAGTTCTATCACTTTTTCTTTCTTTGAAATTAACTCGACTCTTTCAAACATCATACATGTTTGATTAGGAATCATGTTGTCCTTTGGATCTGTGCATTATTCAAACTATACATATTTAGACAAACAGTGAAGTACTATTTATCCTGTTTTTTCTCTCTCTCGCACACACACACACACACACAAAATTGATACTAAGTTCCACAAATAAAATTGCATTTGTCTGTATAGTAAAAATAATCTCTTTTTTTAAAATATGACATGGTATAATATCCCTATATTTGCCTGCCAGTCTATTTGTTCTAAGAATATTAACGCATTTATTTTTTTTTCCTTAAAAATGAATGAAAAATAAACGCAAGTCTATCTCTTCTTACATCTCAGCTTGTGAATGTGGATACAAATAATTTGTATATCAAATTTGAACAGAAAAATAAAAGAGAAAACAAATTTATGAATACCAGTGCTATCGTGTTGGGTTTTTTTTAATAAGTTGAAATGAAATAAGTAAAAAAAAAAGAAACTACATACAAACTGAGACAAGAATAAGTGCACATTATAAAGGAGAATGATGAATTTATCTTGACTATATCAAGAAGAAAGGAAGAAAGAAGAAAAAACAGAAAGAAAATTCTATCAAAAATGTTTTATCGTAATAATAATTATTATACTATCAATGATAATATGAACTATATGACTCTCCCTCCTCTCTCTCTCTCTCAATATATATATATAAGTCAAGACAAAATGCCATCTTCTAAAATAAATTTAATTAATGATATCGTTTGACATGATTATTATTATTATTGTTGTTGTTGTTTCTTCTCTATTCCTTAAAACTACTGAAAATTTACTGATATGTATGAAATATGAAAATATTGGGTGAAGGGATATTTAAACCAACACATATATATATATATATATATACATACACACACACACAGATACACAACTACCACACGCATATACCAAATAAAATATTCAATAATAATATTAATAATAAAATTCGTGTTTTACATGAATTAAGATTATCAATAATAATAATCATTGGATAATAATGTAAGAAATTGAAAATCATGAATAATGAGAAATAATTTAAGAATAAAATAATAACAGAAAAGAATTATTAACTTAGTTGGTTATAACTATGAATGTAGTCATGATATTTACTTATTGAATTGATGCTTAGTTATTCATGGATAACAAGTTAAATAAGAAATAAAAAATAATAATGATAGTCTATATTATTTTTGATTAAACAACATATGTCACTAAGGTGTATCAGTTTAATATCTGAAAACAAAAAGTTTATTGAATAAATAGACAATCCCTTTTTTTTAAAAAAAAAGAACAATTTTTGCTTTTAATCTTAAATACTATTGCTAAACAATAATTCAATGATAAGAGTATATGGAATATTTAATAGGTAATTTAATAGGGGTCGTGGATGCGCACTGCTGACGAGTCCCACAATAGGACGAAATGGCTGTTCAGTGCTTCTAGGTTTTCGATGGTGGTTTAGCTTTAATTGACTCGTGATCTCAACTATTGAAATTACCACAATCTCCACAAAACTCCTGATACTAAATAAAGTATCTCAATACTATAGAAAGTTATGATGGAACTAAATATAAAGTGATCATATTTACTGTAATTATTAAAATGCACACCTTTGAAAATGGTTGTAATATTTTAGTAAGTTTAGTTAAATAAACGATTATTTAATGTTATAATGGTCAATCTATTGAAGACAACAAATACTATGCTTATATGTGAAAATTACATTTGAAATAATCTTAGTGATTGAAATTTAAAATAATTCCAACGTTTCGTCCAGCCAACTTGTCTGAACTTCTTGGTTTATTACCCTGGAGAAGTTCAGACAAGTTGGCTGGACGAAACGTTGGAATTATTTTAAATTTCAATTACTCAGATTATTTCAAATATAATTTTCACACATCATGACTTTTCTATACTCGAGGTTTAATTTCTGTCCAAATATTATGCTTGTTATGCATTTCTTTGGCATTCATTTTAAACGATTTCTTGTTGTTAATAGTCCGGTTGAAGTAATTCTAAAATAGTCGTTAAGTCAATGTGTTTATTTTTTAAAGGAACTTCATTAAGTAGATAGTTCTTCATAGGGTAGCAATCGGTATTTTAAGGTTTTACATCTAGTCCCAATTGTGAAGAATGTAATCTATTATTTAATAGTCTCAGTTAATTCTCAAGTTTTTTAGAGAATTACCTTAGTAGAATAAACAATCAAACAGCCAAAATATAAGCCTATGATGATATTCATATATAACTCTTGTCACGCCGCATAAAAAACTAATGACTGGCGAAATGGATTTTTACTAACTATGCAAAACAAATATTTTAACCATATTGTTATTGATGAATATGAAAATTTTTTTCTTTGCTAATGGGAAGTGGGCTTGGAGTTATCCATTTGAACCAATTACACTTTGTTAAGTGAAATGTTATATAGTATTGTTAAAGAGTTTTTCACTAACTGTTTAATTCCACATCAATAAGGCACAATAGCTTCAACGGACTCTAGACTATTACACTTCGAACTAAATATTAATCAAAAAATCTACCATACAGACTAGTTTAAAATCTGATTCTGAACAAATATTTTTCAACTTTATTAGGAATATCCCTAAGACGAACGGAAAACAGCATAATCCCTATAAGAGAAAATGCAAGCCACTTATCTAGCATATATATATATATATATATATATATATATATATATATGTATAGTGATGCATATTCACATAATTGTGAATATATGGTACTTTGTTACGTTTGTTCACACCAGAAGATTTTTTGTTCAACATGTCATTTGTATAAAATATCACATATTGTGCAAAGATTTTATGATTTTCATTGCCAAATATTACTGACATTTAAAATATTAAATTTTATTTGTACATTGAACAATTCTTCGGTGTACTAAACAAGTATGCCAATATTCAGTAATAGATCAATTAAAAGTAAGCGTATTTATCCTGAAATCACTATAGTTCAGTTCAGCGAAGCTGTAACATTATCCCAAAATACTTGTGATCTGCGTATAAATATGCTTGATTATTAGATGTCGAATTTATTCTCATCATTTAATGCTACTTTTGACAGAACGCATGAATATTCACTACCCATATGTGTCCTCATTCGTACTTATGTGTAAACGTTCTGGCTTTTTATTTGATGCAAATGAATAATTTAAGGCTATTTGGACATGATTCAATCAAGAATATTCATTCTGTAGCATTCTGTTGTTTCTATATTATCCATTACTATATTTTGTTAATAATTTCATTAGTTTTTATTCATGAAAAAATACATTTATAGATGGAAGAGATGATTTTTTGAATTACAGAAATCAATTTGTGATAAGAACATTTATATAGATATATTTATGTCCTAATAATCCTTCAATCCGTAAATCGTTACCCTACAACGAAGAGTTCATCATATTGGGAAAGTAATTGATATTCATTATCTCGTAAATTAACTTTTACAGCAATTCACATACGCTACTTTATGAAACTAAGCCATCACATTGATATTTTGTTGTTAACAATATCAGCTATGAGACCAACCATAGAAGTTATGGAGGTAGCGTAATAAAATGTTATATATGTATATCAATTGTAAAGCTAAACACAACTTTAATCCCGAGCTCTACCTCATTTCAAATTATATGAATCATGACAGCTAAACATACATAGACCAATAATCGAATAACTAAA